TTGCGATAAATAAAACCAAGATTACGAAATCCTGTTTCCTTAATTTTAAGAAAATGGCTTCTAAATGTCAATGCACAATCCAATAATACACTCAAATCTCTAATCTCAGTAACTGAATTCAAGAGTACATCATTAAGAATATATCTATTAGCCATTACATTATTTATACGACCAAATGAAATACAAGAACATTTAGTTGGATTTAAGCTTAAACCATTTTGTTTTGACCATAAACATATGTTGTTTACATCATCTTGCAGGAGATCTCTATCCGATTTATTATGTATACAACGAAATATCTTAAGATCATCAGCAAATAGCAGGAAGTGTGAGTTTTTGATAGCCTTACCAATATCGTTAATGAACAAGTTAAAAAACAAGGGACCACAATGAGACCCTTGTGGTACACCAGAATAACAATGAAATTCTTTTGAAATATAATTGTTAATACGAACTTGCTGTGTACGTCCCATCAGAAAACTTTTAATCCAATTAACAATGGGGTCACCAAAGCCAGATGCATGAAGTTTGTGGACCAAAAGATTATGATTAACCTGGTCAAAGGCCTTTGAGAAATCAGTGTAAACGCTGCCAACCTGAATTTTATTCTCAAATGCACCCAACAAGTATTGTTGGTAATTGAGAAGGTTTGTTTACAGTTGATTTCCATTAGAAAACATGTTGTTCATCAATAATTATGTTTCTGCATCCCAGGTGAGATTTATCGATACCAATTTATCAAGAAGTTTCGGGATTGCTGATTGAATAGTTATACCTCTATAATTGTTAACACACTCGCGATTGCCAGATTTATAGATAGGTGTAAGAAAACTATTTTTCAATGTTGTGGAAATACAGATGACAACGATAAATTAAAAATTTGTTGTAAAACGTTTACAAAGGGAAAAAATACAGTTCTTAATAAGTGCTGCGGTATACCATCAGGCCCTGAAGAATATGTAGTTTTTTAAACTGCTAATCCCCTCGAAAACATCAGTCAGACTAAACTTCAGACTCTGGAAATCCACATTATAGTCCAATTTAAAATTAGGTACATTACACTCACTATCATTATATGTACCTGAAAAATAGCTGGCAAATAAATTGACTATTTCATCACCATTCTGAGCTATTACATCCCCACCTTTATTAGACATTACATTAGGATAAGCACTAGACTCACATGTAGTACTAACATACCTCCAAAAAGAGTGGGGATTACTTGAAAGATTTGTTTGAATATTCTCTAAATAGTTCTTATAACATACTGTTTGTAATGCTTTACATCTTTCCTTAACACCAAAAATTCATCATATGAGTTGCCTGATGCTTTAAAATTCTTGTGAGCTATTTTTTTCTGTATGACAAGCTCAATTATTTCTCGCGAAAACCAAACTGGAAAGTTTAATGATTTAAACCGTTTGATAGGAACAAACATATTGATAGCATCATATAAAATATGGTAAAAATTTTCTAAGCAGCAATTTCTATCTGATTCATCTAATACATTGTTCTAAGAATTGAGGCTAAATATTCATTTAAAACTTGGTAATTACATTTTTTAAAATCATGATAGAAGACATCATATTTAAGAAACAAATTTAAATTGGCTTCATGTAACACTATAGTATAAGCTGTAAAGTAAAAATTTATTATTAAGGTTGGGCAAAGCATTTACTTGTGACATATTTTGAAAATTGTAGCAAGTACAAATAATATTTGCTGGAGAGTGATGAGGACACTCAACCGTAACACCATTACTAAGATTATCCCAGGATGCTTCAGGTAGGTTGTAGTCACCACAAATACAGAATTCACAATCACTGAATCTTTCCGCTAAGTCTAACATACAGGTGGAATGCTCCTCATATACTGACCCAGATGACCGTGGAAAGTAAACTGCACCAATGATTAACTTTTTTGTGCCACACTTAACCTGTGTAAAAACATGTTCCACAGAGGAATCGATAGACCTAACCAACATTGAATTAAGGCGCTTATGTACATCAATAAGAACACCACCACCACGAGTCTTTGAACTAGTTTGAAGAAAAATTATTTTACAGAACACTGAAACACCTAAAAACAACAAAGATATAAAATCAAAACATATAATGAACAAGGGAAGAATAATAATAAATAATAAAATATAATAAAAAATACTATCCTTTGATGCCATACTGTCATAGACTTTGCTTACATTCAGGAAGGCAGCTCCAATAAAGTTTTTGCCATTGAATTCACCTGCAATATATTTGAGTATTTGATCTTCGCTGGAGTGCTGTGTAACTGTCTGAAGTTAAATTGTGCTTGAGGAATTATCCCAAGCTGGTCTATCTCCCAAGATTTGGGAATGTATACATTTCGTGTTTACAGACAATAGGTAGCATATATTAAAAGGTAGAACAACATTACATTTTATTACACCTTTGATTAAATTATAGGCATGTGTAATGTATTTTGTGCGCTCAAAGAAAATTTGATTAAAATCTTCTACTTTCTGATATTCAGTACATAGATTTGAATAAAAAACTTTAATTCTTGCTAGATGTAAAGGGAAACATGCATGCCCAAACTTCATTCTGATTAAAGTTGTGATATATCTTCGAAGTACTACATAATTTTTTGAATCAATATATATTTGGAACTGAAGGTTGAATCAGCGAATACTGTGGATTTGGATTGTTTACAAAGATCTAGCAATGATTGATTTATTCTCTCTCTTCATTGATTTTGAACACTGTTCTTAATGGTATTAAGTCCATCTTGTTCTTTAAATTCCATCTTCTATCGAAAGTTGGAAATCATCATGGTTATGCGAACTCTGTTGACTGCCGCTTTAAATAGTTCTGCACTATTGCATTTAAACCATTCCTTTCAGTTTTTAAGCCACGATATTCTTCATCTTCCTACATTTCGCTTTCCTCGAATTTTGCCTTGCATGTTGCAATAATCAGTATCTTTGCCCTCTCATCGCATCTCCTAAGTACTTAAGTTTTCTTCTTTTGATAGTCAATATTATTTCAGCTTCATTTACTATTCTTCTTGTAACTTCTGCGTTTGACATTCTTTGAGTCCATGATATTTGTAGGATTCTTCTGTAGTACCTAAATTTAGGACTACATTTAGTTAGGACTACACTGAAGCATCCTTAGGTGTAGTCCTAACCTTATATCTGGACAACAAAGAAACATTTTTTGGTGTCCAAATTTCTTTGGTTTCCATAAACCTTCTATTGAATCTGAGAGCGTTTCTTTAAAATACTGCTTCACTGTAGATATTGAAGAGTAGTGGTGACGGCACGCAACCCTGGCAGACTCCTCTCTGTATTTTGATATCTCGATTGTTCTGGTTGTCAACTCTTACCTTGGCAGTTTGATTCCAATATAGTCAGACCATAGTCAATGGCATTTTTAGCCAAACCATCAACATTTTCATTATGCATTAGTTCTATATAAGCCTTAACCCATAAACAATTTACTCTTTTTGATTTTTATGCCTTTATTGCCCCATAAATTGGTATAGCTTCCGCACTGAACATAGAAAAATCAGGGCTTAATTTAAACATTTTTTATGTCTTAATAGCATGTATATAAAAGACACATCTAGTGCCAACTTACGTCTTATACAGGTGCATCTGTATATATAGTTATAGAGTCTGAAATCTCCCACAATTTTCTCAATATGTTAGAGCTAATACCAATTTTTTAATGGTAACTAGGTTTTATTAGTTTATTTAACTAGGCTTTATTACTAGTTTTATTAGTGGAGTTTTTAAATCTTCTACATGTAAAGCCCTATTCGGGTTGGCTTTATAGCTTCCAAGCAAATGCGCAGTCCCTAAGTTTTGTACAACTTGTATTCTGTTTAGAATATGTTTAGAAGCTGAACAATATAGAAAATATCCATAATCAATTATAGATCTAATATATTGATCGATAGAAAAGCAGGGAAGTTTCAACATTAGCTCCCTACCATGCCTTTGAAATTGCGTTAACAAAATTTAAACCCTTATTGCATCAATTTATCATAAACTCAATATGTAATTTCCAAATCAATTTACGGTCCAAAATCATTTCTAAATATTTTATGGAAAAAGAAAATGCATAGTCAAATTAAGATTTAACTTCTCCACTTTTGGGATAATACAGACAGTAGATTTGTTTGAAGCAATTCCAAATCCGTTTTGATTAAACCATGAATTAAGACAGCCTTGAATTCATCCTAAGATTTGAACATAATTATTGTAAGTTTTGGCCTGTGAATACACAAAAATTATTAGCATATTGTATTATTTGAAATCGAAAAATATTAGTGGGAACTTTATGTAAATCCGTAGTATACATATTAAACCATAGGGGACTTAATACTGATCCCTGTGGTAGTCCTAATTTTAATATCTAGGATCTATAAGATTGTTATTGTCAGATCTCAGATACGTATATCTTTCTGCGGTATTTGAAAATATTTAATCAATTTTTCCACTAAAATTCGTCTTTAAAAAGACAAACACATGACGTGATGACAGTAAAATTCTCCTGTTAGTGATTCCATAGTCAATTATGAGGGAAATTATTATGAATTACATGCTATGATTTTTTTCTGACGGATATTCTCAAGTTAAAGTTGATTTCATGTAATCGAATGAACTATCTTATAAGTAAAGTCGTCCCAGGAGCGCAACTCAACAATATTGACAATATCATTTTAAAGTCGTCTACTTTAAAATGCATAATGTATGTCTGAATTGTCAATATAAATGAGTCAGATAAAATTAAATTATTAGAAGAATTTTTCACTATGTAACAAAAAACAAAATTTGTTTAATTTACTGTTTGTATTTTGAGAGCGATTTCCGAAGTGGAAATTGAAACGTCAATAAACGTATTTTTATCTTTAATTGTGGCTTATTCCCAGTTAAATAGTAATTAATTATTCATTTAGTTAAAAATATTAAAATATAAATTTTCAAATTTAAAAGTAGTTTCCACTTTACAGGTATGGTTTCAAATAGAAGAGCAAAATGTCGAAAACATGAAAATCAAATGCAAAAAGGTAAGCTATTTTATTACATATTTATATAAAGATTTTGATTCCTTTTATATTTGAACGTGCCCTAACCTCTTTAGGTTCTCCAATTTTGGAATTAATCGTTTCTACACATAAGCTTCCTATACGTTTCTATCGTCTTCTTATGTATGGTACCATTTTTATTTCGGCCCTGCATTATTTTAGTAGAAAAAAAATTTGGTTTTTGGAATATTAGTATTATTATTTTTTTTTTTTTTTGTAATATTTGACGTTTTCTCCAAAAGTCTTAGTTTAATAGTTTTTGAGTTTAATAGGTTAGATCCATGGACGTATAAACATAGATGGACACAGCAATAAGATACCTTTAACACACAATGTTTTGAAGCTTCCATAGAATGTTATGCTTCCGCAATGAGCATAAGCGTGCTTGAATTTTTACTTTTTTACTCTTGGGTAATTATTCAGATTTTAAAAATTGGAAGTAGTAATAATGTATAAAAATACGTTTTAAAAAGGTACTAAATAGATTTTTTTTAATCAGATGATGTCTACTTACAATTTAAAAATGTCTTCTAATTTCATGAACTTATATCTTATTCAATACATTAATGAACATGAATAAACCCAATAGTACGCCTATTAAAATGTAAACAAACACGCTTCCTCATTTCCTCATCTTAAATAATGTAAATTGTATGTACTTACAAATGAAATGAGAGATCGGGATGTAAATATTTCGTTTATTTTATTTCACTTTTCACAAATATCACTCAAAATACAGCCAAAATATCGAAAAACAACTTTTACTAAAAAGTAAACAAACATGGAAGAGCATTTGAAGTTTGACGTAGATCCATAAGACAGAGAAATGTAAACAACCGTTGCCATTTATAAATAGTTTTCAGTACTTCTACATATAAAATAATTGATTGATATCTATTATACGCTATTATTAAATGATAATGCACACTATGTGCACACTTTATATTTTGATTACAATTAAATATATTAATCTAACCAATAAATTATTACAGTATAAAATACGGAGTAATATTTTCAGCGACTCGCGAATAAGAAATTAAAAAAAAAAACGTGACAACAGTTGAAGGTGATGAGAATGTGACCTATTCAAATAATTTTGACTTCACAATTTTATGTAAATAACTGAGTCCATCTGTGTTTATACGTCCATGGTTAGATCCAACGGTACAATTAGTAACGGCTAAATATTTGATCAAATAATTATTTTTTTGATTTTTTTTTTTGTAAAATAATAACACAAAAACTTCTATTAATGATTTAATTTAAAGCAATTCTGGTATTTACCAAACACAAAAATGAATATTACATTTTTACATGAAGAAAATTGGTAGCGAGATGCAAAACTTTTGTAATCAAAAATTGGACAATGACCATATAGGTACAGTCAACCATCATCTACGGGTGCTTGTTTTTGTCGTCCGTTGCTTGTGGACGGTGTAAAAGAAGGTGTAGCTGATGGTCATCCGCGTTTTGCTGGATTAGTTTTATTAACCAAAATGAGAGCTTTCGCAACATGTGCCCGAAAGTGTAAAAGGTCTAGAACCATCAAGGTCCAATCAAGGTCTAGGCACCAATCAAGGTCTAGGTACACCAAAGGTCTAGTACCATTGCTTTTGATCTATATTCAAGCCAGGCGTTTGTACAAGCTAAATCGATAGCATAAGTAAAAAGTTGAAGTGTCTAATTGCGACTTCGAACTAAAGTTCGATAAAGGGTAATCAAAAAAATCCATTTTATCGACACCTACCATATGTTCATTGTAATGCTTTATTACTTTCGCCACCTTATCCCATATCCTATACTGGTACACACTACCCCCAATCATATAGTTTGAGGCCATTACGACTGCCTTGTTGTCAAACCATTTCGTAAGGATGACCTCTCGGTCTTCACTTAGAAGTTCCTGGGCAGTACCACGGTCGTGTCTTTTCATTTCAAGATCGCTTGAAAATGGCAGATTATTAAACCTGTCGGTTTGAGCACCATACATCAATGTGTTTATGTCTCAAATTTTGGATGAGATTATAATTTGAAAAATAATCTGACGTTATTTTATTTGATTCGCTCATACAATTTAAGAACTACTGCAACTCCTGTTCATAAGCTTCTTTCTCTTGGGGATTGAACTCTGTAGAAAAACCTTGCTATATAAAAAAATCATCAATAATGCCACTGGTGCCACAAAGCGCAAACATATTTATCCCTCAAGGACATGGTTTCCCTTGATGTACTGTTTCATGTCTAGAGATCCTTTGAAAGGGACCATTTGTTCATCAACGCTCAATGTGTTTTCCAAAGGTAATTGTAGCATTTTGGAGCGAAGAATGTCGTACAGTGTCCGCACCTTCCAAAATCCGTCTGTGCTATTGACCGGCTTCTCTTCTATGTTCACAAAATATGTTGTAATAATAAATGTTGGCGTAATTTGAAGAACCGATCTCGGGTTATATTGTCTGCTACCATCGGAATGAGCAACATATTCTTCTATTCTTCTTCTTCTTGAAGTTCCATATTCTATCGAATGTTGGAAATCATCCTGGTACAAATCCACATTGTTCTTCGGCTATCTCTGGAAGTAGAAAGTTCTTTAGCCGTTCATTGATTATATGTAGCAGGATTTTGCTTGCATGAGGGATAAGGGCAACGGTTCTGTAATTGCTGCATATGGTTAGTGATCCTTTTTTATGGATAGGGATCAAGGTTGATTCACAACACTCATCAGGCCATTCACCTGTGATCCATATCATGTTGCACATATCCAGCATTACATCTACGCCAATTTCGCCTATTGCTTTTAGAGTCTCCGCTGTTATGCCACGATTCCTGGAGTTTCTTTGTTTCTTAGTTGGTTAAGAGCTTTCTCTACTTCTGCTCGTAAAATGATTGGTTCAGCCTCTCTGATTGCATGTTTTTTGTGTTCTGAGACTGATGCGTCATCTTTTGAAGTGTCTTTGTATAATTCTGAGCAGTAATTTTTTCAGGTCTCTGCTCTTTGTTTAGAAGCATCCAAAAAATATAATAAAGTTCGTCCGAGCCAAAAAAGCTGATTTTTACAATTTGTAAAAAAAATTGTTTAATAAGATTAAGACACGTTTTCGCATGGACGACTTCTTGAATCTTATTCTAGGGTGTCTCATAAATGTAATTATACAAAAATATTTTATGGAAATATTTTTCCGAACAAGCCCGAGCTTTTCGCCTGATCTATTAGGCAAATCCCTCAGTCGTTTACATATAGTTGCGTAGGGAGCAGTATAGTCCATGAATAAACAGTCAACATGTTTATTCCATATTTGAAATGAATAAATGCGAACTTAACCCCTATTTGTAAATGTAATTTTATCAAATCTAAGCTCTATGAGGACAGCGCACTCCGGATTGAGGGGCTGGTGTACAGGGTCGGTGTTGCTCGAAAACTATTTTTATTTAGCTTTAACTTAAAATCGACAGTATTTCCGTTTAAATTAATTATTTTTTCGTTGCTTTTATATGTGTATTTTCTCTTTTTTTTATTTAATTAATGGGTTTGGATTTTGGATACTTGATCCATTCAGCCACGATAATGTATTTGACTACTTGAATTTGTTAATGATGTATTGACCTATTGCATTTGTTAACAAATAGTACTTCGCATAGAGGTAAATTAAAAATATAGTGTAAACATCAGTATCACAAGAATCAGTAGCTTGATAAAAAACCATACATTCATTCGTTCCATTCAATGCACTAGCCAACAATATTTAGGACCCACGAGTGATTACATAATATAGGGATACTTTTCACGCTAAGGTGCCTTTCATAGCGACTTTATTACAACACAAGACAGGCAACGGTTAGAAGGTAACTATATAACATAAGGATAGACAGAAGGACAAAGCTAGATTTACACATTCACATTACACATTCAATCCTAAATTTTTCTTTTAGTCCTTTTTAAATATTTCCAAAAAAATTGGTTAAACCTAATATTATGACGACAGATATATAAAATGGAAGATTGACACTGAGGGAGAGGTATTTGTTCTTTTATCAGTTTTTCCAATAGATACTTAATAGCAGCTTCATTATATATGCACCCGAACATCCAATGATTGATATCGTCAGTGTTACCATTACAATCACAAAGTTCGGTTTCACTTAAATTAAATCTGTGAAGATAGGCTTTCACAGTAGCATGATTAACAAGGCATCTAACAAACATTGAATATACTCTTCTATTGGGATGACTTCTTGCAGCAAAAGACGCAGTAGGTAAAACAGGGTGAATTTTTGTGTAAAGGTCGTTACTTCTGTTACAAAAAGCATTCCATTCAATTTTCCAGTTTTCTTGTAATTCTTGTTTACGCAGCGAGACTAAATCACTTCTATTGAGCCAGCTAATTTCTAATCCGTTTGAAGCCGCTTCTTTAGCAAAATAATCTGCTTTGGTGTTATCCGAGATACCAGCATGTCCTTTTACCCAAATGAAAGAGACTGAATTATTTCTTTCAAGTAGCTTTAGTTGATTTTCTAATATTTTGACGATAATACTGTTTTTGTATAAATGCTTATGCGAACTATCTAAAGCAGACAGCGCAGATTTTGAATCTGACATGATTACTATTTGTTGATCAGACATTCTTTTCTCAATAGTCCATTCTAGAGCTTGATATATTGCAAACAGTTCTGCGGAATAAATGGAACATTGCTGGTTTAATTTAAACTTAATGTGTTCTTGATTGTTTTGGATATATACCGCATAACCAACTTCCAAAATGGATTTTGACCCATCTGTGAAAATCCTATATGTATTATCAAATTTGGCAAGTTGTTTCTGAAGTTGAATGGCGTTGTTATCATCAAAAGTAGGGAAATAAACTTTGGTTTGGGAATAAAGAATATTAAAATTATATTGGAAAAAATTGGTTTCAGCTGGGATTTCTAAATAGGAAGAAACATTAGGAAATCCTATAGCTAAAGTTGGAGAATTTTTGCTATGCCAC